AATAATTCTTACGTTCGCTATTACCCTGACCACCTACAGTAAGTACTCCTCCCACGCCATGCTTTGTTGTGCAAAACCACTCGCATCGAATATGCGCTGTTGTCACCAGAAGCAATAAAACTTCAGCAGCGAAAAAATTCTGTAACGGCATTAGTCCATTACTGTTACATTTCCGTTAGAGCAGAATAACAAAGCTCGTCTTTTATATTATAACTATCGCGCTTCGCTTTATTCATACTATCCGCTCCGCTGCACATTAATACGAAACAATGTGTCGAAGTCGAAGTCGAAATAGAATCCGACGCCAACGCCAAAGTACGCTGTTCTGAGGTGAGGTGTACTAATGGAAGTGTAAAATATTTATGTATCCGTATGGTGCTCTAAGCCGCGTACCGAAATTCAGTGACTTAATTCATACAAATATCAGTTATAACGAGATATTGCAGTAGAAATGACATTTTCGAAAATTTCCCAAAGCCGTTATTAAAAATTAGCAATTCGTTTTGGTATGATGAAAAAGAATATTACCCATCAAATATTGCCAACCTTTCAAGCAAACGAGCCTATGGGGATTATTTAGCCAATCAAGGAAAGTCAGTAGAAACAAGAAAAAACGTTAACTTCAGTTGCACCGAAGCTAAATACCCTTCACAGGTGCATTTCCGTTAGTAATTATGTGTTCAGTTTGTATGGAAGCTATATGTTATAGTTAACCAATCTGAATAATTTCTTCCAATATTACATTCTTTTTATGAAAAATAACTCTTACCAAATTTCGTGAAGATATATCGTCAAATGAGGAAGTTTCTCATACAAGCATTTGCTTCCGATCATTCAGTTTGTATGGCAGCTATATGTTATAGTTAACCGATCTGAACAATTTTTTCAGAGATTACATTATTGTCTTAGAAAATTATCTATACCAAATTTCGCGAATATATCTTATTAAWTGCAAAAGTTTTCCATACCAGCACTAGATTCCGATCGTTCAGTTTGTATGGCAGCTATATGTTATAGCTAACCGATCTGAGCAATTTCTTCGGAAATTATATTGTTGCCATAGAAAATAACTTGTGCCAACTTTAGTGAAGATACATTGTCAAATGTGAAAGTTTTCCATAAAGGAACTTGATTCCGATCGTTCAGTTTATATGGCAACTATATGTTATAGTGGTCCGATATCGGCAGTTCCGACAAATGAGTAGCTTCTTGAAGAGAAAATTGTGTTTGCAAAGTTTCAAAACGATATCTTAAAAACTGAGGGACTAGTTCGTATATATACAGACAGACGGACAGACGGAGAGACAGACAGACGGACATGGCTAAATCGAATCAGCTCAACATACTGATCATTTATATATATACTTTATAGGCCACATTAACATCGCATATAAAGTTCTATTGACCGTATGGTGTGTGGAAGATTAAAACCCACCTGCAACAAACTGATTGGACCTTATCAGTTTGACTTTAGGCCTGGAAAATCAACAACTGACCAGATATTCATCAGGTGCCAAATCTTGAAAACGACTCGTGAAAAAGGATTGATACACACTACCTCTTCGTTAATTTCAAGTTGCTTTTGACAGCACGAAAAGGATGTGCCTTTATGCCGCTACGTCTGAATTTGGTATCTCCGCAAAACGAATACGGAGGAGTAAACTGACGTTGAGCATTACCAAAAGACCCGCACAAAACGAGGTTTCAGACAAGGCGAAACCCCATCGTGTGACTTTTTCAATCTACTCCAGGAGAAAACAATTTCGGCTGCAGATCTGAATAGAGAAGGTGCAATCTTGTATAAGAGGGAATAGCAGTTGCACCGATGATACTCAGATCATTGGCCTCAACAACCGCCACGTTAGTTCTGCTTTCTTCAGACTGGATAAGGAAGCAACACAAATGGGTCTGGCAGTGAACGAGGACAAGACGAAATATCTCCTGTCATCAAACAAAGAGTCATCAAATAAAGAGTCATCTCATTCGCTACTTGGCTCCCACTTCACTGTAGATAGTCAAAACTTCGAAGTCGTAGATAATATTGTCTATCTTGGAACCAATATTAAGACCAACACGAATTCCATCCTCGAAATCTAACGCAGAACAACAATTGCCAACAGGTACTACTTCGGACTGAGTATGCAATTCAGAAGTAAAGTCCTCTCTCCACGAACAAAGACTAAACTCTACAAGTCACTCATTATTTCCGTCCTGCTATATTGTGCAGATTCATGGAAGATGACAACATTCGATGAGTCGACGTTACAGAGATATATCGCATTCAATGGAAGGATGGACAGTTATATGAATTATACGAATCAAGAAACAACGGCGTGGCTGACCACATCATGTCGTGCGAATTGATGAAACCGCTCCAGGGAAGCAGAGAAAGAGGGAGGCCTCCACTCCGTTGGAAAGACCAGAAGGGATATGGCTAAACTTGGAATCTCCAATGGGAGCCAAACAGCGAAAGGGAAGAACGATTGGAGCGCTGTTGTAAACTCGGCTATAACCAGCTTGTCGAAAGGAGTCGATTTAGCCAAGTTCGTCCGTCCGCCTGTCTGTATATATGCGAACTAGCCTCCATTAATGAAGTAACGAAAATTTTGAACACTTACTTTTCTCACCAAGAATATTTTCATTTGTCGAATAGAAATCAAGCGCTTTTATGTAGCACTGTTTATTTGAGAAGAAATAATCATAACGAAAATTTTATATTGTTTAATGCCTAAGACAATGATGCAATCTCCGAAGAAGATGTTCAGATCGAGTCACTGTAGCAGGTAGCTGCCATACTAACTGACCGATCTCATCTCATGTAAAGAATATTTGTATTTGTGAAGGTTATTATAGCTTCGGTGTAACCGAAGTTAACGTTTTTTCGTGTTTTATTTGACTTTTGCGATACTGTTTATAACATAACAACCACTAATTCATCGGCAAGTTGAGCTAACTATAATCATAACAGTGGTCTCAGTAGAAATATGACTTCTCACCGCGCAGCTTCACAGCTTCTCCTTATAATGTCACCTACAACTACAACAAAAGCTTACTTCGTTGCGTTTGCAAAATATCTGTCTTTCTGTATATATGACATATTCCTTCTCATAAACTCCGGCACCGCTTGGATGTTTGGCTGGTGGTTTTGATAAAACGCAAATGTTTTTTATTACTTTTCGTGCGTCAATTTCATTATTTTATTAAAATGAATGTGACAAATGTCTCATTTCAGAAACGCCTCTCTCTATCTACTAGCCCCGCAACAGCCGACATTACAAACAACAACAACACTGTTTGCACATTCTCGCATTTTGTTTGCGCACCGTCGTCCTCTCGTCCTTTTGCTGGGACGCGTTGATGGCTGGCACAATGCGCGTCACTTGGCTACTTATTTATTTATGCGTTGCAGCTGTGCTGTGGTTTGCCAGCCTTGTGAGCTTGATTAACTGGCGTGTTTTGTAAGTTGAAGTTGACGTTTTCGTGTCTTTCCGCGCCGCACGCACTTGCTCTTTAGAAAACTAATTACATTTAATAGGCGCTGCTTGTCACAGCTTCGCCTTAGCCAGTGCGAGGCGTCTGTAAAGCGGAATCATACCATACTTCGCACCCCACCGAGATTCAGTTGAGTAAAGTTTCATATATAAATATCAAGAAATTGCGTCGTTGGACAGTCCAGCGTGGAAGCCTATGAAGTCTACGAAAGAAAAGGCAGAAGAGGTTCATGAAAATTATTGGGTTCATAAAACTTTCAAGTTATTTTTTGTGTCAGAATTATTTGAGTAAATGTTGGTTTCATAAACCGAGAAATTTCGGGTTTTTATACTCTTGCAACCCGTTTCTACAGAGTATATTAGTTTTGTTCACCTATCGGTTGTACTAATCACCTAAAACTAACTAACTTCAACTACGTCGACGACATAAGGCAATACGCCGACCAACAACCTTCCAACAAGCACTGCCATTCACAGTAGAGAGGAGTTTATTATGTTCCTTAACTTGGAGCATACGAGCCTCACTATGCAGATGTTCAATAGAAGACATCAAGAGGCATCCTGTCGTAGTCCGCAGTGCAGTATTCTGACAGGTCCGAATCTTCCTCGTCTGCGTACCACTGCATCCAGGCAAAGCAAAATGGGAGTTATGTTGTCTGCTTGAGCTCCTATTGATCGTGGAGATTTTCTGTTGGCCACTCGGGTGGAGCGGCGGCCAAATGCTCGAACTAGGTGCAGGTTGCACAGCCGTAGAAGTTGCAATAATGTGTTGGCAATAGGGAGCTACGTAACTTGACCGAGTTGGAGTTTGAACGGAGCCTTTGGCGCAAGCGCAGCAAAAAACTTCCACCGGGCTCGGGTTGGACTCAATGCCAGCACGAGTCAGGACCCTGCTGCAAGGCTTTGTTCCAGTGACGACAAACTTAAACGGGGTTAGATCACCGACGTAACAGCCCTTGGCCGGATAAAATCAGGGCCGATGCATAGAACCGGCTCTTGTTAAAATTGACTTTTTGTCGAATATACCGGTCTGTGTATGTGTTATTTTCAGTAGATATATACACTTGAACTTCCATAACTCGAACTCTTGAATTAGCAATAGAAGTCAAAAAAGTCTCTGTAGCTCGAAGTGTTTTTCGGATTGTGTGCATTCAAGTTAGGGAAGTTCAACTGTATATATAACTGCTTGAATTCTGGTCCTCTGGTTGAGGGCTTGCACCTTAAGGTATTTCCCTGGCTTTAATTTTTGCAGTTGCAGGAGTATCAAATGTTCAGCTGCCCCGAACTTAGGGAGGGTCTCCTTACGTCTTTCCATTTTTGTTTATATTCAAACATGCTTGAGTTTACACCAAATCATAAGTACGATATCTGTGGCACTATTATACTTTAATCTGTAGTAATACTGAAAGATCCAACATCTTGGATCAAAGCCAGTTCCATTGAAATATAAAAATTGTTATAAAAACCTGCCGTTGCTTTAAATATTGCGAAATTTTTCATTTTACTTACTTGTACTCCGGCGAAGGGCAGCCCTGAGCTACGCATAACAGCACAGCACCCTCATCTTGTGACACTTGTACATGGGAGGTATGTTCGACGACGCTCGGTGAAATAATGCCACGGTGAGCTAAAAATTTGTAATAATTTGGTGAAAATAATTAATAATATAGCACCGACCAAAAAAAACAAGAGACCAAGGTTCATTGAAACCAACTTATTTGGTAGTAATAGTGCGAAACTGAGAAAAATATACAAATAAATATCACAACAAAAAGGAACAAAATTGAGCGTAAAATAAAAATTCGTCTTCGAACTTAGCATCCGGAAGAAGCATGGCTTTCAACCTATTTACTTTCATGCTATATATAATGCATATTATGGATAGATTTGGAGATAAGTGGAGACCACATGCGTCCCTGATAAATCGGATACTTTTCAGATTCAATCGGTTGAGCTTGTTTCAAATGAATTTTCCATCAATGATTGTAGGTTTGCTCCTCATAACAAGCATGGTTATTGAGGTTATACAATTTGGCATGAACTCAACAAAATCACTAATTATTTACAAATTAAATAAATACCTGATGTCTTTCTACAAATGTAGTGTATGTGTGTGAGCATGAATTAATAACAAAGCCGAGCAAATATTTTCGTTTTTAATTTCAAATCGTGAGTGCTAAAAAATAATTTATGCGTTTGCGGTTTTGATTCATGAAAACTTTCAACGCCGATCAATAGAAATGCAACAAAGACAAAAAAGCACAAAAAAAAAATAGAGAACACAGCAATGCGATTTTATTTCCACTCGTTGAGTGTGCTCATGCGTTCAAATTATAAATTTATTCAATTAACATATTCGACGCACGAGTTTGCGGTCAAGCAGCTCAAAAAAGGAGCTAATTAGTGACGCTCAAATTAAACGAAAATTGTGCACACACACACATGTGAAATTCCCTGAGTTATTACTGAAATTATTAATTTGCATTTTCGGCTTTGAACTTTCAAATTAAAGCTTTTGTAAACCATAATTATTAGCATAAAAAATTGCCATTAATTATTGAAGCAGTTGAAATTAATTATTGAATTATTTTAATTGAAATTTGGATATAGATATAGAAATGATAGGATCGAACTACTCACAGTTTATTCTGAGACGAGTTGGGGAGCTGACGACCACTTGACGCGTCAAACGGTGCATGCTGCGACAGCGAAACGACTGTGATTCATCGCTCTCCTGCAGATTGTGAATGAGCAGCTCTCCGGTCGGCAGTAGATGGAACTTACCATCTGTGGAAGAAGTTATGAGGTTTTCTGTATTAATTGCCTAATATTTTATTCATCTGCTTAATCAATGTTCAACATAATTAAGATAAGAAAATGATAAAGTAAATTTTGATCAAGAAAGGTACGAAAATTGTTAAGCTTTGGAAGCGCATATCGCACAACGTTGTTGAATATGCAGTGGCCGGCAAGAAAATCACAGTTTACACCTTGACAGAATCAGCATACAGAACATCGCATCCGTACACCTACTGGCACACCTGAAAGGATAACGTACGCACAAGTATTGCTGCTCGCCTCCGGTTGTCGTTTTTGTCACTCGCACGAATAATCACATTTTCACCTTTAATGCCAAGTCGAGCTCACTGTTTGCACTCACTGTCAAAAACTTGACAAAAAATGCACACTTTGCGAACTTTACACGACGATATGCTAAGCTCGTTGCGCGCTGAAGTCCCAGTGCTTTGATAAAGGACACGGCAGACAAGGAAAGAATAAACTGAAAATGCTCTTGCTTTGACTTACCTCCTTGCAGTGATGGGTAGATGTAGATAGCAGGTTCATGAACCCACGAGACCACTCGCACCAATTCCTTAACGAACGTCGGCACGACACAGCGCAGTATGGCGGTGCATCCTCGGGCGGCAGACAGCACCTCGACATCCACTTTATATGCCTGCGCAACAACTGCAACAAGGCGAATTACAGTTAGTTATGCTGTCAAAATGCATGCATTTGCAGTCAATTTTGACATTTATTAAAAAAGCGTAAACAAGATATAACACCATGAGCCTTTTTTTCATTTTATTTTCCCTATAAAAGTCTGGCTGGTTGAAGCGTCAGTAGTAGTTTGTAGAAATGAGAAAAATAATTTGATTTCATTGCTTCGATAGCTTTAAAGAGCTTTTTTCCTAGTAAATTATCTTAGTATCTCATTCGCTAACGATAAAAATACTAAGTTTTCGTTCATATTTTTGAAAATTCCTAATTTATTTTTAAAATATCATCCCCCTCAAAGTTATCTAAGAGGATTACCCTAATACACTTGGCACAAAGTTTTTTCCAATCCACGAAAAAGTTGTTAAAAGAAAAGATGAAGAATATGTTGCTTGAAAATCGCCAGGTAAGTGTTAGACAGATGATAAGAGAGCTCGACATTTCTCGCAAGTCCGTTCGAATGACTTTGGTAGATACTTTGTGTATAAAATACGATCTTGCTCGACTGTTTTCAGTCGATCGAAGAGATGAAACAATATTCGCTGAAGACCAGCCCATCCAGGACTGGAAAAATCGTTGGCATAAATGTATTACATCTTCTGAGGATTACTTTGATGGCGGCAAAATAAATATTAATGAATAATTAAATATTTTTTCCTTTTACTTCCAATTTCTTAGTCACAATGTGTTGTCAAAACTTATGAAATTTCACCGTCGCTTCGTATATAAACGGTAATTCAGAAGATTCCTATTAACCCTTGAATCGACTGCTGCACTTCCTTTGCGCAGCATTGAACTCGACGTGCGCAATCTCATCTTTGAACACCAGCCTGCATGACATATCTACGCACAAGTTCCGAGTGGCGAATATACTTTGTCATTCACATATATGGCGAGTATATTCGGCACTATAATCATAACCTTATTGAAGTGAAAAAGTGATTGCTTATTATACTCACCGGCACGCACTTGCACGTCGCGCGACACGATGCGCCCTACACTGTTGCTGGCGATGCAACGGTAAATCGTATTGTGCACGTCTTGGTGGTAGGCCGCCGCCGGAAATGGTAAGAGCACCAACGTGCCGTTGCGCAGTACACGTCGCACGCCGTGAATTTCCGAGACTGCAGTGCCGTCCGCGTGCACCCAATCGATGGTGGGCTGTGGGCTGCCGGACGCCGAACAGTCGAGCCAACCGCCAGACGAGTTGGAGAATTCAACCCGACCGGGCGGCTCCATTACGAAGCCGGGACCGCGCAGATGTGTGTCGAAGACCTCGGCCAAAGTGGCATCTGTAAGAAGAGAAATTTGAATAACTGACGTTAGAAAACAGTAGCCAAATAGTTTATTTGAAAGAATATATGTATAGGTCAAAAACAAAATGAATTACTATAAATGTAAAGACGCGATTTGTTGTAATTCCAAAGGAATATGAATAAATGAAAAGGCAAAAAACCAAACGGTCCAGCACTTGAGACTTGTTGGCTCATTGGCTAGTTGCCTTGTTGCGCTAAATGCAAATGGAATCGCAAATTGCGGCCGCGCTTGGCTAAGCAACTGTAAAACTGCGAACATTGAGTTGGCAAGTGCAAAACTGCGGCGCAGAAAACATTTTCGAGCGCAGCATGAAGCACGGAAATCGCCTTGAAATACGCAGGAAGTAGCTGAAGAAAAACGATTCGGATATGAAGGAGCGAACATAATAAATGTAGAAATGCAGCAAGATGACGGAGCACTCGAAAATAACACAGCAGTGCAGCGCAAGAATGGCAAGACATTATGAATATAAATAAAAATTTCAACTGGACGTCACATTTGCGCTCAGCGTGTGAGCAGCAGAAGCCAAAAATGAGACAATGGAAGTGAGCGGACCTACAGGTCGGCAAACAAGCAAAGATTCTTTTCAATCCGACCACAGTCAGCTCCAGCTTCCGCCTGCTGTTCGGAATATTAGCATACGAAAGTCCATGCCAATAATTTGTGGGGATACCACAAATGTAAGTATGTGGAGAAGAATGTGCGTTTTTGCGTCCTACTCAAGGGTCTATTAAAATTTTCCAAATACATTATGATATGCATCATGCACGGTTTTGTTTCATTTTTCTTTTCATTTACAATTCTATATTTTTTGCACAATTACCGCCATGTTTCACAATTAATATCATGTATTTATTTGGTCTTTTCCTTCCTATGATGATAAGACAATCTTAAGTGTCTTCACGCAAAGACTTGTAAACATAAACTTATTATAAAAGGCAATCCATTTCGAGGTTCCTCACTTTTTTTTTTTAAAGAAAATACGCAAAAACTTCAAATTTAATAGGGAATGTTTATTATCTTTCGAAAGAGCATTCTTCGCAATTTATTTCTAAAGGGTATCTCTACCATATGTTGGTCGCGGCTACGTCTCAGATGGGCCTTCTCTTGAATCCCATTTTCGATGACTCATTCGAGCATTGCGAATGGTAACTGGTGAATGAAAGCCTGAATCGAAAGGGATTTTCATATTAGACTCTAGACTTTAGATATTTCCACAAGAAAAAGGCCAACGGTATGATGTCACATGATCTTGATGGCCATTCGACCGGCCCAATAACGTAAATTTGCTCACCGAAGTCTTCTCTCAATAAATTCATTGGCTGATGCGATGTGTGGGAAGTGGTACCGTCTTGTTGAAACCAAATGTCGCCGAGATCACTAGCTTCAATATAAGGCATCAAGTAATCGATTATCATAGCGCGTTAATGGTTGCCATTAACGGTTAAGAACTGAGGACCGATGATACCACCGATCCACAAAAAAAACCAAATCCTCATTTTTTCGAGATGAAATGGCAGCTCTTGAATCTCTTTAGGTTGGTCTTCGTACCAAATGCGGAAATTTTGTTTCCTTACATATTCATTGAGCCCGAAATGGATCATATCGTTGAACAAAATTCGGCTCGAAAACGTGGGATCTTCTTGGAACTTTTCAAGAGCACTTAGAGCGAAGTGATTCTACTTGGGAAGGTCTAACGGCTTCAGTTCTTGCACAAACTGTATGTTGTACGCTTTCAATTTAAGTTCTCAACATAAAATGATCCAAGTCGTTCCATACTTCAGTCCGAGTTGCTGCGAACTGCCGCAAAATCGACCTCTCCACCATCTTCGGTACTCAGCTACGGTTGCTATATTTTCTGCTGGATGTGGTCTATTCGGTCGAATATTATCCAATAAAGAATGCTGCGTCTCAAGATGGGTGATGGTATTGCGAATTGTACGCTAATTAGGCCGATTATGTTCACCATAAATTGAGTGAAGATTCTTTACAAAACGAGAATTTTTGTATTAAAATTGAACGATTTGTTAACGATGATAATGATGAAATGCCAAGCAGTACTGATCAAACATAACATAACAACTTGCTTACGTCTCACGCGTTATCTGTCAAAACAGGCTTTTGAAAAAAGTATATCTACTTGATTCAACCTTTATCATTTAATTAGGTGTAAACAACGCTTCTTCTTAGTTGCAAGGGGTCAGATTTATCTAACATTGCCTCATTGTTGCTTCCTTATAAGACAACTCAACCACTTTTTTTGATACCTTGAAACTTCGAATACATGCTCATACACTAATTTCCGACTTTCTGATGTTTAATATTTCATATTTTCTGTTTTCATCAGGATATCGGCTTCTTTTGATATTAATTTGAACAATAAGGAGCAATATGCTGGAAGGTTCGTGGTATGTTTGTATGTTTTGCCTAAAAGCAGTAGTGAGATCACGATTGATGATCGTTTCAATCTTGGTGATAATCAATGCATGATTGCTACAACAAAAGATATCTCTATTCAGCTTCAAAATGCTCAGAAATATTACTGATTTGGAAACAATAAATTCCATTAATTATTCAGAGGCGACCCCCTTGTAGTCCTTGAGTTGGTGTACAGTACAAGTTATTCGTTAGCTGCGAGCCAGGTCCCAGGTTTTTTATATACTATATGTATATTTTTGATTTTTTAAAAACTCACGCATAAAAAAAAACATATTACTGACTTTAAAAAATGACTGTTCGCCATCAACAATATTACGAACATTTGGAGCTAATTTGTTCACGGAACAGAGTTGCACGTTTTGATGTCATTACTTAAAACGACAAGCTGACACACACTTTGTCTGAAAATTTAATTGGAAAGAGTCTTAAAATGCACACAGTTTTTAATCTGAGACGATGCAATGAAACCGCATCAATTGCAATGGGTGCTCGAGTGCTATCAGTCGCCGACACAATACGAAGTAATTACTTGCAGCATTTCACTCTCGACAGCTGAAATCTCTGCACACCAAAATATCATTCATATTCGGACGAAATGAGTGCATGTCTATACAGGCAAACATACTATTCGAAACAAATATATGTACATATGTACTGTATGTGCGGAATTAAAGCAAATACAATTTAAGGCATTAAAAATATACTTACGCTTTCATGCGCAGCGCCATTGTGTTTAAATGCATGTGTGGCTGTGTGTCTATGAATGAGCAACAGTACCCTTTCGGCGGATGTGAGTGCAAAAGCGAGTACATTTGAAACGCTCGGGACCTAACAGCTTTTGTTTGCATTAACTGACGCAAAAGTGATGGCGGCCACCGAAACTGCATATAAACAATTTTAAGACACTCAAGCTGACAGAAAATACACCAGACTTGTAATATGAACCAACGGGACTGAATCAGCCGCCTTCCTACAAGAAGCAACTAGTTCCTAACTAGTTCCTAACATATAACTCATTCATGTCCATGCTTTACTCGTGTTCATAAGCACCTGCTGGGAGTCCTAGGTCCCAATCAGTACGGTGCGGTTAAAAATCTTCCAGGAAGCGAAATTGAGACAGGGTTTTTGTACAGACTAGACACAAAGTTTGGATTAATACTAGGCTGCCATGGACTGCTTTTAGTGTTAGCACTGTAATAGAATTTGGTCTGCCGATTTGGGTTCCTACCAGGTAGCTTTTGCTATCCTTAACACAAAAAAGTATATGTTCAAGTAGATGAGAATGTATATTTGTGTGTAGACTCTGAAATTGTTATGGGAGTTAAAAGAAACGCAGAGAAGTAAAAAAGGGAATCATATTTTTATGGCTAATATAAAAATGTTTGTCGCGTAGCACAGCAGTACAACAGTTCTGGCATGTCCGTACTTACTTAAGGGAACAATAATTTAACGGAGTTGCGAAAGACAGCAAACACAGCAAATAAAAAGGCAGAAACGCATAACGGACACCGACGCATACCGGCACACCGACTGTGCATGAAAGGCGAGAATGAAGAATTCTACTTTCTTTTGGTGGTAGCGACTAGCGGGCAGTTATAGCCACGCAGAAACGGAAATATCAGCAAAGTCCTCACTCGGCGCGTTGGAACGGGGAACGGAAAGGGGGCGTCGGTTTGCTATTGCAGTCGGTTAAGCCGTTTGGCATTCTACAACGAGTATAATCTGCGTTGACATATAAACACACAAAAACTCATATAAAACACGCACACTAATCCAATGCTTGTAGGATTACTTACAATGAAAGGCAAGAGTGTACATTAAAGGGAAAGGAAATAAAAAATGAGCAGAAAAGAAAAATGCGAAATGAAATGTTGGAAAGGCGAAACTCTCCTAAGATTTGCAATTGCAATATTTTTACGAGCGCACTTCATGTTGCGCACATTCATACAAACATACCCCAGCGAGCACATCAGCGACATCGACTAAGGTGCCACTTGTTGTTGCTGTAGCGGCAGAAACGGAAGTAATTTATAGTCATATATTTTGAAATCGGAATTAAACTCATATTTAACGTGTTCTGGCGAATAAATAACACGAAATATCTTCCGACAATGTCAGTCTCGAAATCCAACGCAGAATAACTCTTGCCAACAGGTGCTACTTCGGACTATGTAGGCAATTGATACGTAAAGTCCTCTCTCGACGCACAAGGACCAAACTATATAAGTCACTCATTATTCCTGCTATATGGTAAAGGCATGGACGATAACAATATCTGATGAGTTGAGGTTACAAATTTCCGAGAAAAAGGTTCAGCGGAAGATTTATGGTTCTTTGCGCATTGGCCACGGCGAATACCTCATTTGATGGAACGTTGATCTGTATGAGATATACGACATTAACATAGTTCAGCGAATTAAAGGACAACGGCTTCCTTAGCTAGGTCAAGTTGTCCGAATGGGTGAAAACACTCTAGCTCTGAAAGAACCCGCCGGGTTAAGCAGAGGAAAAGAAAAACCTCGACTCCGTTCAAGAG